GGGAGGGGGGGGGGGGGGGGGGGGGGGAGAGGAGGAGGGAGAGGAGGGGGAGGGAGTGAATGTCAGTGTGAAAGTCTGTTGGACCTCAACAGGTGTAACATGACATCATTACACTATAAAACACACACACACACACACACCTACGTGTGTGTGTTTTTAGAAAAAAATTAGAAATGAGAAAAAAAGAGTTATTCAAAGACAACAACAACAACAACAACAACAACAAACATATATATGTACAGATGATATCGTTAATATCGTATTATAAAAGTGATAATGACATCACTGTGACATCGCAGTGTTTTTATCAAGTATCATGATTTTACATAACCCTTAGTTACTTTAAATACTCTAAAGTAACGACTTTAGAGTATTTAAAGTCGTTACTTTAAATACTCTAAAGTAACGACTTTAGAGTATTTAAAGTCGTTACTTTAAATACTCTAAAGTAACGACTTTAGAGTATTTAAAGTCGTTACTTTAAATACTCTAAAGTAACGACTTTAAGGCCGTTGATGACGTCAGTACGAAGAGTTCATCATTAAATCACAGATGAACCGTTCCAGTCGGTTAACGACTCGTACCGTGACTCAGTGATGTATGATCTACGTCGTTAGTACCAGGATCAGTACTAGTGCTGACGGTACCGAGAACTGGACTCACCGTCAGTCAAGTTTACGAATCTGAAAACCGCAGCGTATGAAAAAATAAATTGAATCAAATCAAATCAACTGAATCGATCAACATTTAAACCGATGTTGTGACTCGGTGATGAACTCGGTGTTTAACTCGGTGTTTAACTCGGTGATGAACTCGTTGATTAACTCGTTGATTAGCTCGGTGATTAACTCGGTGATTAACTCGGTGTTTAACTCGGTGATTAACTCTGTGTTTAACGTGGTGATTAACTCGGTGTTTAACTCGTTGATTAACTCGTTGATTAACTCGGTGATTAACTCGGTGTTTAACTTGGTGATTAACTCGGTGTTTAACTTGGTGTTTAACTCGGTGATTAACTCTGTGATTAACTCGGTGATTAACTCTGTGATTAACTCGGTGATTAACTCGGTGTTTAACTTGGTGTTTAACTCGGTGATTAACTCGGTGTTTAACTCGGTGTTTAACTCGGTGATTAACTCGGTGTTTAACTCGTTGATTAACTCGTTGATTAACTCGGTGCTTAACTCGGTGATTAACTCGGTGTTTAACTTGGTGATTAACTCGGTGTTTAACTTGGTGTTTAACTCGGTGATTAACTCTGTGTTTAACGTGGTGATTAACTCGGTGTTTAACTTGGTGATTAACTCGGTGATTAACTCTGTGTTTAACTCGGTGTTTAACTCGGTGATTAACTCTGTGATTAACTCGGTGATTAACTCGGTGTTTAACTTGGTGTTTAACTCGGTGATTAACTCTGTGTTTAACGTGGTGATTAACTCGGTGTTTAACTTGGTGTTTAACTCGGTGATTAACTCTGTGTTTAACTCGGTGTTTAACTCGGTGATTAACTCGGTGTTTAACTTGGTGATTAACTCGGTGTTTAACTTGGTGATTAACTCGGTGTTTAACTTGGTGATTAACTCGGTGTTTAACTCGGTGATTAACTCTGTGTTTAACGTGGTGATTAACTCGGTGTTTAACTTGGTGATTAACTCGGTGTTTAACTCGTTGATTAACTCGTTGATTAACTCGGTGATTAACTCGGTGATTAACTCGGTGATTAACTCGGTGTTTAACTCGGTGAATCACACAAACCTGACTTTTTCAGACACTGTGTGTTTGTGAGATGACGTCACTCCTGACGTAAAAATATAGAAGAAAAGTAACAGAGTAAAAACAGTAACAGCAGCAAACAAAAGACAGAACACACACACACACACACACGTATACATATGTTTGTGTAGTATTGTTGTGTGTGTTTGATGTTGTAGAAGTTTAGATCAAAGACTGAATAAAAATCAAAACAAACTTCCTGACACACACACACACACACGTATACATATGTTTGTGTAGTATTGTTGTGTGTGTTTGATGTTGTAGAAAATTATATAAAAAAAACAAAAAAAAAAAAAAAAACCCCCTCACACACACACACACACGTATACATATGTTTGTGTAGTATTGTTGTGTGTGTTTGATGTTGTAGAAAATTATATAAAAAAAACAAAAAAAAAAAAAAAAAACCCCCTCACACACACACACACACGTATACATATGTTTGTGTAGTATTGTTGTGTGTGTTTGATGTTGTAGAAGTTTAGATCAAAGACTGAATAAAAATCAAAACAAACTCCCAGACACACACACACACACATGTGCGCCCCTCTCTCTCTCTCTCTCCTCCCCCTAATTCCTCCTTATTTATTGGCTGCCTCCTCCCCCCCCCCCCCCTCCCCCCCCCCCCCGTCCTCCTTCTCCTCCTGCTCCTCCTGCTCCTCCTGCTCCTCCTGCTCCTCCTGCTCCTCCTGCTCCCCTGGTCCAGACCATATAAACCTGCAGGCCCGGACACCCGCACCTCCGCTCCTGCAGCTCCGACGTCTCCGGCGGCAGGATGAGGCCAGCGGCTCAGGTTCTCCTCTTCCTCCTCCTCCTCCTCCTCCTCTTCCTCCTGGTTGTCGTCCACAGGAGCGCCTAACAGTTGTTCTCCCACCTCCTCCTCCTCCTCCTCCGACCTCCTCTGGCTCCGGGTGTTCGTTCATGGATTTCTTTATTCCTGGATGAGTCCAGATTTTTCCTCCTCTGCTGTGGATCGTCAGTCGGACCGAGGTCCAGGGACGTCACGGACCCGCTCAGCATGAACCTGATCGGGGGCTATCACCACCACCACCACCACCACCACCTCATGCACGAGCCCTTCCCCTTCGTCCAGCGGTGCCACCAGGACGGGCCTTACTTCCAGAGCTGGGTGTTGAACCGCGGAGAGGTCCCGCCGGACCTCCACGTCCAAGCCGCCGCCGCCGCCTCTTACCCGGGAGTGGAGCTGCACGGAGCCGCTGTCGGTGGAGCCGGGGCCGCGCACGACCCGCGGCTGGAGGGACTCCAGGCTACGGGCTGCGGGGGTATGTTGACCGGCAAGAGAAGAGCCACCGGGCCGAAGAAGGAGCGCCGCCGGACGGAGAGCATCAACAGCGCGTTCGCGGAGCTGCGGGAGTGCATCCCCAACGTGCCCGCCGACACCAAACTGTCCAAAATCAAGACGCTCCGCCTGGCGACCAGTTACATCTCCTACCTGATGGACGTGTTGGCCAAAGACTCCGGGGAGACGGAGGGCTTCAAGGCCGAGATCAAAAAGTTCGAAAACCGGGACCTGAAGAGGAAACGAGAACCGGTGAGTGGAGGAAAAAAAATATTTTAATGCATTAAAATAATTCCAAACTTGAAATGAAAAATAATTCAAAAGAATGAAAATAAAAAATATAATAAAATCAAAGAAAATAGAAAATCAAATCAAAGTATAATATTAAATAAAATCCAAATATGATTCAAACAAAATTGAAATACAATTAAAATAGAAGCGAAACCAAATCCGAATAAAATGGAATTAATTTAGAAACGAAACGGATTTTAACCCGTGACATTCTGTGTGTTTTTCGTTTTAAATGTGTATCGTATTTATTTCGTTATTCGTTAAAGATCGATTAAGAACTGGAACTAATAAAATACAAATCACTTCATAAAAACAATCGCCAGAAAATTGTGAATTCGCTTTAAAAGAAAAAATGAATTTATTTTCCCTCTTAAGTCGATGTGGAGACGGTTTTTCACTGGATCGCGGTTTCAGTTTATTTAAAAAAGACGGTCGTTTAAAATAAAAAAAAAAAAAAATTCAAATAACAGTCCGAACATGAAAACCAATGACGTCAAGTTATTAACGAGCGTTTCCGGTTTTTAATTTGATTAATGAATATTTGGATCAGTTGTTGCCGTTTGATGATGACGTAACGGCCGTCTGTGAAATACCACGTTCCTGTAAAACAGTTCCTGTGGAAACACGGAACCGAAATCTGCAGGAAAATCTCGGATTTCACACACACACACACACACACACACACACACACCGTGTTTTTGTCCTCGTGTTTTTTTTTGTTCATTCAATTATTTTAATTTATTCAAAGATTTAAAAACTTTTTGTGCGTGACGTCAAAATAATTTTTAATTCTATTTTAAAAGAGTTTTTGTTTTGGAGAAAAACAACAAACAACAAGATTAAAGTGTGAATTCACTTCAGAGTTTGTTTGATTTATGATAAAAGAAAAGATGAAAAAACGGACAACAAATAAATAAATAAACTCAAAATAATCAACAAAAAACTCATAAAACATTTATCAAATATTATTATTATATTATATTATATTATATTATATTATATTATATTATATTATATTATATTATATTATATTATATTATATAATTATATGAATGTGTGTGTGTGTGTGTGTGTGTGTGTGAACAGAGTGAAGGTCAGCAGGACTCTCTAGGAGCTGAGAAGAAGGTCAAAGGTCGGACCGGGTGGCCTCAACAAGTCTGGGCTCTGGAGCTCAACCAGTGACCCTCCATCCAACCCTCCATCCAACCCTCCATCCAACCGTTTATTTATCCTTCCTCCTGGCCTCTGTGGGCCGCGGCCCTCCTCAGTGACCGCTCCCCGCCGTCGCTCGTCCATCCATCCATCCATCATCCATCCATCCATCCATCCATCCAACCGTCCGTCATTCTTTCTGATGAGAACACACACACACACACACACACACACACACCCTGTCCATTATTCTAAGGTCTTTGACGGAAAATGTTCCTCTTAAAACGCCGTGACGTCACATTTGAAGTGTCATAAAAATGTTGTTAATAAAAGGCCGTCATTTTAGTCGAATATGATCGAAAAAAAAATATTTATCGTCGTCAATCCTACCGTTCTACGGGCGTGACGTCACCGTCTCCACGAACTCAGTGACCGTCACGTGTTGTCGTGTTGAGTTTTGGTCTGACCGAACAGAATTATGGGATCGAACTGATCATTGAAATCGTTAACAACAGCGAATCAACGACGACGAACACTGAAGGAATGACACGAGTGGCTGTTAAAGGAGAAAGGAAATGACGTCACCACCCCTTTTCTCTTCGTCACTGTTTTTCTTCGAATGACTTTGTGTTAAATATAAAACAAATAATTTTATTGTAAAGATGAACGTGATGACGACGAACTGAATCTACCTCAGAACTGATGACGTCACTGATCGTCTGCGGTAGTGACGATCACCACACAGAAGATAAAACATAATTTAAAAACTGAGTTTTGTTTTGAGCGTGTGTCACGTGGACGGAAGTGAGGTGTGATAATAGAAATAGTTCATTAATAAAAGAACCAGACGGTGGCGCTGGAACAACGAGCTGCTTTTTTCTTTTCCCTTTCATTTTGAATTCTTTCTGATCAAGTCAGGATTCTTTGTTTCCAGAATTCACCTGAACCAGAATCTGACGTTTGAGCTCGACCTCTGACTTCTGACCCCTGACCCCTGACCTCAGCCAAACATTTCTTTCCAGAAAGTTTTTTTATTGTTATTAAAAACGTCTTTTATTTTCCTGATTGTTTTCACCTCCTCAGACGTCACTGAGGTCCCGCTGTTTACAGCAGCGCCTCCTTCAGCACCTCCTCAGAAGGACAGTCGACACTGCCACCTAGTGGAGCTTTAGGACCCAGTAGCTTCAGAGACTTCCGTCTTCGGCCTTTAGCTGTTAGCAGCTAAGCTAACGAACGACGAGCCTCCACATTAACGCCATCATTTTTGCCCGTAAATAAAAGGTCAAAGGTCGAACCTATTTCAAATCTGTGTTTGATTTGACGTGACGCGTTTACGTCCGTCCGTTAATAATCCCACCAGCACACCTGACGGTGAAGCACAAAAAAGTAACACATTTGAACACAACACCAGGGGGCGTTTATTCTCCTGCAGTCTTGGTGTCTGCGGTTTTCAACTCTGAGTGACGATGACGTCACGTTCTCTTGGTGCTGACCAGCTTCACCTGGATCTTCCTCCTCTTCATCTCTCTGGACATCTGACACCAGCTGCAGGAGGTGCAGAAGGAGGCGTAGATACAGTCTCCACAGATGCTGCCCTGGGGGGGGGGGAGGACAGAGACGTGTCAGCTGAAGGTCAAGGAGCGGCTGTGATTGGCTACGCCTCACCTGTGACGCGTGATGACATCATCGACTAGTCATCTCAGCGTTTAATATTAAAACGTCAGCGTGAGTCGTACACACCATGTGTTTAATGAATGAATGTGTTTCAGCTGTGACGTCACAGACTCATCAACAGACGGCCACGCCCTCTATGTTGATTACTGACTGACTGATTAACTCAGACTTAAGGACTTAAGGTTGGAGTCAGCGTCACGGTCTGGTGGTCTTCACTCTGAGTTAGAACTGCGACCCCTGGTGGACAGGTCTTTCGGTGCAGCTAAATGGAGTTTGGGTTCAAAAAGCCCGTGTTCAAAAGGTATTTGATATTATTGGTGTTTGTCACTTGTTGTCAGTTACCATGACAACAAGGGGCGATTACAATTACAGCGTTAACAGACGCTTTTATCTAAGGAGGATTAACATTCCTCTGGGAATCGAACCCAGGACTGTGGAACCACCGCTGACGTGGACATACAGACTGCTGTGACGTCACTAGGCTGTAGTTGGGCGGGGTTTTAGATTCCTTAAACTGTATCTTACACTGATGCCGTAGCGGTGACGCATGGACACTCTCATGGCAAAGGTGATTGGCGGGACCATGCCAAATATGTCCAGCAGGGGGAGACACAGGCCTTCTCCATAGGAGTCGGTGATTTTACAGGCGAAGCACGGACAACACCAGAAGGCAAAACAACCTGAATCACAGTGAAAACCAGGTGAAACAACCATCTGGTCAGAGAGACCGTCGGTCTACAGACCTCAGGCCGAGGGCAGTCTGGACACAGACACAGACACTTACACTCAGGGACGTCCTGACAACAGTCACAGATCCTGGAGCCCCACTGGTCCGAGTCCTGCAGGACCATCACCGGCTCCGGCTGTTTGATGACCATGGTGTTGGACATGAT